GATCTAAGAAAATAATCTGCGTGGCAGTGAGCCAGCTATGTAAGGGGCTGGGAACAAGACACAGGCAGAGGTAACAGCATGTACAAACACAGAGATTGGAGTTGCTCACAAACTGAAGGAAGGTGGGGTTGTTGGAGAAGTAAGGGGGACATTGTCTGAGTGATGATGAAGAAATTAGCTGGAGCAGTCACTCCACCTGAGAGCTCTTGTGACGAGGCAGTATTTTATTGCAAATGCTTTGGAAAGCCATTTAAAGGTTTTAATGGAAGAGAAAAAACACAGCATGATGCAATAATGAAGACCTGTGTGCCTGGCTGAGCTACTACCATCAGGTCCAACCACATAAAAGGCTGTGAGCCCTCAGGGGAGCTCAAACATTCAGTTCAGAGAACAGGATGGGCTGTTACAACCTGATAGAGCAGGTGCAACAGTTTTGCATAGGCAACACCTGTGTCTCAGGTCTCTTGTATACAAAATGATCACGCTGCCTATTATACATCTGCATTGGTAGACAAAGGAAGCACCCAGGTCGCTGGTGTTAGCATGTTCTACACTGCACTATCTATTGCTCTTTTAATGTGAACCTCCCCTGTTGGTGTTTGGTGCCATCCGGCTGGGTCCAACCTATAATAACCTCTCCACACAAGAAAACAAAACACCGCATGCTCCTGCAACAACCTCACAATGGTCCTGTGCCGGAGCCCATGGAGGCAGTCACTGTGTCAGCCCATCTTGTCCAGGAGCTTCCTCTGTTTCATGCTCCCACATGTTTCCAAGCAGGATGACCTCCTCCAGGGACTGCTCTCTCCTGACAACATATTCAAAGTGTGTAGGATGAACTCTTGATATCCTTGCCTCTAAGGAGCACTCTGGCCATACTTCTTCCAAGACAGATTTGTTTGTCCTGTTATTAGTCCATGGTACTTTCAATATTCTTGGCCAGCACCACAATTCAAATGCATCGATTCTTCTTCAGTCTTCGTTATACAATGTCCAACTTTCACATGAATATGAAACAATTGAAATACCATGGCTTAGGTCAGGTACACCTTTGTCTTTGAAATAAGATCTTTGCTTTTCAATATTCTAAAGAGGTCTTGTGCAGCAGATTTACCTAATGCAGCACATCTTTTGATCTCTTGACTCCTGCTTCCATGAGCATTGATTTTGGATCCAAGCCATGACAACTTTAACCTTTTCTTTATATATCATGATGTTCCCTATTGGTCCAATTGTGAGGATTTTGGTCTTCTTTACATTGGGTTGTAATCCAAACTGAAGGCTGCAATCCTTGATCTTCATCAGCAAGTGCTTCAAGTCCTCCCCACTTTCAACAAGCAAGGTTCTGTCATCTGTATATTGCACATTGTTAATAAACCTTCCTCCAGTCCTGATGCCACATTCTTCTTCGTATAATCCAATTTCTCATTATTTGCTCAGGATATAGACTGAATAAGCATGGTGAGAAGAGACATACCTGATGCACACCTTGCCTGATTTTAAACCATGCAGTATACCCTTGTTCTGTTCACACAACTGCCTCTTGATCCATGTACAAGTTCTGTATAAGCACAATGAATTGTCCTGGAATTCCAATTCTTCTCAAGATTATCCATAGTTT